CGAGCTACGTACGTGTCCGCGGGACGCTGTTCTTAACGTAGCCAGTACGTTCGGTCGTGGGCAGCCACACTGCGGAATGTAAGCAGCAAAGGTTTGCGCCCCGGATGTAAAGTTAATGTCCGGATGTAACGTTAATGCGCTACGGCACACCTTCTGTTCAGACTGTAGTGATAATGATGAGGGATTGATTAGTTTTAGGGATAAGGGAAGGATTATGGGTATGGTTTAGATGCAAATGGGTTAAATTCAGGGTTTGTGGCAGCGGTCTATGAGAAAAAGTTCATTTAAAAACTAAATGTAGAACTATATTTTTGTTTTTCTGACAACAGGCATGCTGGCTTGGAAATTTTTTTTTAGCCATGCAACGAGTCCTCGTGAGCATGCCTCCTTATTCAAACGATATAATCGACATCGGTTTGAACCGAATGATAACGAAGTGCTTTCTTTGTGCGCCCGTAGCGACGTCGACACGGGTCACGTGCGCCGAAGACAGGCGCCTGCGTCATGCGTCGTCGACAGCCCAAGGTGCGATCTGCAGCCGACGTTGCTCGGTTCAGAAGATTCGCAGTGGTCAGTGTGTGCGGCACCGGACGACGCACCTACCGTAACCGCTGGCATGCCCAGATATGGGCGGCGCTTCCTCTCGCTTGTTAAGGAGTTGAAACAACAGTAGAGGCCGTCCATAGGCTGCCCAGGCTGAATAAGCATCGAACAGTTCGAAATTAATTTTAAAATACTGGCACGACTGTATACTGCACTTAAAAACCATAACACTTTCATTCATGTTTAAATAACTACAGATTCATGCTCTATGCTTCCCTCGAAACTTTTGCCCAGCTCTATGATGCGAATTTCTGGCAAAGTTGTCTGAACACATTTCATACACAAAAAACACGCAAAACGCGGGTCGCTGTGACTACGGCCAACCTGACGAATCTCACGAATACACAACAAAAGATAATTTGACTTCTAATGCTTATCCTCACGTCCAACGAGGCATCCATACTGGCGTGCAATTAATGCTATATTATTGGCATCTAGTGCCGAATTTGCGGCGAAAAAAAATGCCAAAACAAGGTCCATTGTGTCTGAGGAGACGTTAAGTAGTAAACGGGTAACAAATCTCGGATGGCTTACTGTTATACGCCACCTATATTTAGCTCCTTGGTGCATGTCACCACCAGATGGCCTCGTGCAGGAACCTTAGTCTGCACTCGATCCATACTATTTCTGTACTTTAGTACTTCAGTCTAGTATTCTCTATTAATAACGTGTGTAGTGAACACGCCGACTGTAGCCGGTACCAGAGACGAAATACAGATAAAAAAAATACTTTGTAAGAAAAGTATTCGCGCGCGGGCACACAATTGCACACAGCTTCCTAATCGACACGCCGTAGTGGTAAAACTCACAGCAGCAATGCACCTGATCATATAATACGAATAGGAATCTGGAATACGAATAGCTCACAGAAAGTGTAGGGACAGTCTACAATCTCGGAACTATATATAGTGCAGATCGTGGTGCGATCTCTTCAAGCTGCTTGGTTGGACGGTGTATTGCACTGTGAGTATGCTTTAATATATAGATCTATGAGTCGAAGTAGGCGCGAACTTGAAGAGTGTATGTTAGTCTTTTAGCTATGCTTCACATATTGTACATAACTAGTTGAAATACCTCTTTAAGTGTTAAGATCAGGTACTATAGACTCTTATGGTATAGTAATATGTAAGCCATGTGTATTTTGGTTAATGTAATCGTAATATGTATAAGAATTTTCGATGTCGAGTCAGTGGTTTGGGTTCGGTGTAAGATGTAGACAATCAAAGTAAGTGTTTGTCAGTTTCAAATCTATATGTGTTTTATGCCTTCTATTCCTTTCGTATCCCTATAGCTCTCTGCTCCTCTCTCGTTTCTCCCTTCTCCTCCCCCTCCCCCGGCCCCTCTCATTTTCGTCTTTTCTCATCATTAATACCAAAGGCCACCTCTCTCATTATACGATTCGCTACTATCCACGTGCGGTTCATCTAGCTTGCTTTCTCATCTCTCTGCGCTCAACAGGGGCTCCTCGCATCTCCTTTCCTTCACAGTCGTTTCTCTGCTCTCCATGCTCTCGTCTTTCTCGCTCTCCGAGACCATGCTCTACTCCTACGACTCGCATCTCGGCTACTCTCTCTCCGCTTTCTCTCTCTGCTGTTCTCCCTTCTCCCTCCGCTCCTGCACTCTCGTCCGAGGGGACCCCAGCTCTCTCTCTCTCTCTCTCGGTTCTCCACAGCTCTCTCTCTCGTCCGCTCTCTCTCCCTCGCTCTCATCCACTCACGCTCCTTTCTCTCGCAGCCGTGCTGCATATGTTCTACTCATCGTTCGCTCGATCACGTTTCTTACCTTTTCGCACTAACATCTCTGTCCTCTTCTCTCTGCCCACTTCTCTCCTCTCTCATTCTCGTTTTTTTCTCTCTCTCTCCTTACTTCTCTCTCTCTCTCTATCTGATTAGATCGCTCTGTCTCTTGGAAGCTCTTGTAGCAAGTAACGTTTGGGCTTCCTAACAGCATTTCATACATCGTCGATATCGAGGTGTAAGTCTCCATAGCTGCGTAAGACTTGCGATTCTTGCTGCACGTCGCTGCAACCGTCAATACGCAATCGATCGGTCGCACGCTTCACCGTGTGTGCGCATGCAAGTTGCTGTCTACCCGCACAGGCCCATGCGAACTACGAAGCATTTGGACCGATTAGGGAAGCGACGAGTTGCTTGACAATCAAATCAAGTGTTGATTTTTCTCCGCTCTCCACTCCTTTATGTTCTTCTCCTCTTCACATCCGGCCTCTCTCTCTCCTCGTTCTCGTTTCTCCTCTCTCCTCACTTTTATGCTCTCTCTCGCTCTCTCTCTCTCTCGTCTTCGTATTCTTTCGCCTTCCCTCTCCTCCTCTTTTTATCTTATACCCATAACCATTCATACAGGATTTTTCCTAGACCGAAGTTTCCGACATCGAAAAGCTGTTCCTCTAGCCGCATTCAGGCCATGCAGAGGCCGACATAAGCTGTGCGCTCATTAAGACATTCGATTAAATTATTTTAATTTAAAATATGGCCCTTTACAACTACATCTGTTCCCGAATACATAGAAAGGAATGCCCAGTAGTTTTCGCCAGATGATTTTGTTATAGACCATACAATCTATCCATCAAATCATTCCATCCATCCATCCACCGATCTATCCATTCCATTACCATTAATGCCATCTATCCCATCATCCATTCCATCTATCCATTCCATCCCATCCCATACCGATCCATCGAATTCCGCATCCCATCGCGCATCGCATCCCATCGCATCTCATCCTATCCATCCATGGCATCGCCATGCCATCCATCTGCATCCATCTATCACCATTCATTTATCCGTCCTATCCATCCATACCATGCCAGTCAGCAATTCATCCATTTATCATCCATCATCTATGCCATGCCATGCATTCATCTATCCATCCATACCATCCACCATTCATCCATCATCCATCATTCCATACCATCCATGCCATCCATCTCTCCCCACCACCCCCCATCAACCCCATACCATCCACCATCCATCCATCCATCCCATCCCCATCATTTCCATCCATCCATCCATCCATCCATCACCATCCATCCATACCATACCCCCATTCCATCCATCCCATACCATCCATCGCTCCATCCATCCATACCCATGCCATCCATTCCATTCCATCCATCATCCATCACCCATCCATTGGGTCCATCCATCCCATCGTCAAGTCAATTCATTCATTCATTCCATTCTTCATTCATTATTCATTCATTCATTTATGCCCACTCCATACCATTCCATCCATAACACACATCCAGCCACTAGGGAGTATAACACCACCCACTCACCAATGCAGCTATTCATACATACATCCAACCTTCCGTCTGTCCTTCCTTCCGTCCGATCGTCTGTTCGGTTATCTCCGCTCCCTAGTCCACCCGTCCGTTCGTCCGACACATTTATATCTATTGCGTGGTTTAAATACGCTTTTGCGGCAATTCCATGAGTGGAGTCTGTCTCTTGAATGTAATAATTAGACATAGAATGTGCTTTCAGCTAACATTTGTGTGCTCTTCACATTCACTGTATTCAGCCGCATGATTGCAAATAAATTCGCCCTGATTCATAATAATACATGACGTCATCATCTAGAATCTTTAACGAATCGGGGGTGAAAAACAGCCCTATTATTTATATGTGTTATAAATCCATACAGCCTTTGTGTTGACGATAGTAAATCATTGTGCTACCATTGATTCTTTTAATTCGCTTCTCATAACGCAATTTAAATATCACCGTAACCATCTAATTTACACTAGTCTACTTTATTATTACAATTGGCAATATTTGGCTTTTTTGTCCAACCAGCCTTTTTTCGTTCGTTGTAGTATTGTGCAACATTATATATCAGAACATTGGTACGGGCTTGGTACTCTTGGCAGCTCTTAAAAGGACGAACGAACCATTACATTAAATACATCGAGAATGGATCCACCACGTGAAGTGTCCTTGGAAGAACTAGTGAACTGGAATATTTACTATAGTGTAGTAAAAATGTGCAGCACAAATGTGTATACATAGATATGCACAATATCCTGTGTTGTGTCATATCAATGGGGTATTACAATACTGTATGTGTCATGTGCGTTGCGTTGGGTAGTCTTCATGTCGCGTGTTCATAATGAGACATGAAGCATGTTACATCATCGTCACAAAATATAAGCAGGCTAGTAGTTAATCTATTATATCTATTAAATACACACGATTGAATTCTATATAGTGTTGCGAGTTTGAGTAGTAACTCAGTCATGGCTAGAATGTGCTGTAACTGCGTAAGATCCCTGTCAAGCCATAGTTTGCTATTGAAAGTTAATCCCTTACTTTGAACGGGTCTTCTATGCATTTGACATTTACGATAGTCAATGAGAATAAATTTTTCTTTTGATTATAGATGGATCCGGACAAGGCTGAGACTTGGGATAAGATAAAAAAGCTGAGAGAGGAAAAGGGGTATTGTTACGAAGACGAAGTGACTCTTAGTAAGAAGACACTCGGCGACAAATATGAGCCTCTGGTAATCATGGCTTTCTGATGTTACGCGGCCCTTCCATTGTTAAGTTTCACGAAACTTTCTACTCTCTCACATTTATGTTCTTCAGCATGGCAGCAAATTTCGGATTAATTTAGCTTACTATAATAAAGACTTGTTCTGCATCGGGGCACACATTTATATCAATCCCATCTTTATAAGAATTCTGGTAAACTACCCCGTTGTCAGAAACTAAATTTGAGCTGATTTTAGTCTTAACATGACAGAATTTGTGTCATAGACCGTTGACAGAACCATCGTAAAGTCACGAAAAATAAAAAATCCTAGCAAATTTCCCAATAACTTTACAAAACTAAATTTCTTCAACGGTCTACGGGAAAACGTTAATGTTTATAGACTAATGATAGCATTAATTTTGTTTTTAACAACGGGGACTAAGTTTTCCTTCCCACCTGACAATTAACCTTGAAACAACGTCGGTGATCGACGTTGAAATGACGTAGAAAAGGATCGGATTTGCAAATTGAATCAACGTGGAACTGTTAAACTTGTTTTAACGTTTAAATGTCAATAATGTTTCAACGTAAACGTTTTCAGTGTATTCTCAACGTTAAAAATATTTAAACGTGTAGATGTAAATCCAATCTTTTTCCGTGGCATTTTATCGTCGATCTCCGACATTGATTCAATATAATATTCGGTTGAGAGCTATGTTTCACATTGAAACTATTTTATGATGCCTGTTGATATATGGTTCATATATATCAGGAGTAGATAATAGGGAAGGAGTGTGACATCAATAAACAAGGGAAATTCGTCATTTACTAGCCTTATAATACCTACGATTTACTACGCGTAACTCAT